AGGATATGTAATTATTGAATTATTCCACTGATTGGTTTGGTGTAGTTCTGGGAGAGGATCATGGGAAAGCCCTTCCTGAGTGTGAGTGCTGCTAGCCCTAAGGGCAGGTATCCTGGATAAAATATAAGGGTCAAAAAGAGGATTGTTGATTGTCACTTGCTGCTTACTGCCTTCTGCCTGCTATGACGTGTTTCTCTGTGATGCCCCTCTGTTATGTTACCCTGCCTTGGAGCCAGCCATCTATGAACTGAAACTTCTATGAACTGTTAGTTAAAAAAGCTTTTCCTTCTTTAACTTTGGTGTCAGGTATTTTTGTTTTGGTAAAGAGAAAAAGTAACCAAGACAGAATTTGGTACCTGAAGTGGGGTTTTTGCTATGACGTTACCTAGCCATGAGGTTGAAGATCCTTTGGAACTGGCTTATGGGAAGAGTTTGAAAAGGTTTGCAGATGCTGGCTGGAAAAGCAGCCCTGAAATGTCTTAAACTGTTTGATAAGAGATTCTGATCATAGCTCAGAAGACCAAAATGCTGATAGAAGTGTTGCTGGTAAAAAGCAGGCTCAGAAGGTTTCTCCTGGGAAGGAGGACTGCATTGGCTGTTGGATTCCAAATGATATGTGTTATTCCTTGGCAGAAAGTTTGCTGCATTTTGCCCATGTTCAGAGACTGCCTGATATGGAGATTAAGGGTGATAGACTAATTAATCTGGCAGAAGAAATTTTAAGGTAGTCTAATGTTGAGGTGGTGGCATGGTTACTGTTATGGGCTTTAATCAGATTTATATTGAGAATCAAAAGCAAAGAGGCCAGCAGAATGATTTAGAATGTTTTGAGTTTGGCCAGAAAGGAAGCTCCAGTAAAGTTGTGGCCTGCAAAGAAGGAACACAGAAGAAATTGGCCACTGAAAAGATAGCAAGAAAAAAGTCAAGTGTTTCAGAAAAGAAAATAGAAAAGATGGCTTGAGGACATCACAGGAACCAGCAGGACTCCACCCTTTGCAGCCTCCAAATTGCAAAAGTGAAAGACTTTGAGAAGAGAGCCCCAGAATACCATCTTCCAGAATGGCAGTGGTCTAGGGAAGTTGTTCCATGGGATTTGGTTCGTAAGCACTTGACCTTTAGAGCCAAGAGAGAAGGAAGCTTGGCTATTGCTCCAGCTGGTGTCAGACCTTGGCATCATCTACCTGGTGCTGGTTTTAGTGCATGCAGAATACAAGAGTTGTAGGGTCAGCAAGGCTTCCACCCAGATTTCAGAAGAAGGCTTGAGTAATCAAGGCAGTATGCCTTGAGAGGGTGGCATGTGAGGCTGTGTGACACTCAAGGTACACTGGAGACCCAAGAAGTTTGGAAAAGCCAGGAGTGTGAATCATCTGAGGAAAACTTCCAGGAGGAAGCAGAGCTGGCCCAAGAGAGAATCTGTGGAAGCTAAAACCACCAGCAGCGCCATGGGGGCAGAGCCACCCAAGCCTTTTGGAGTTCACATTTTACCACATATTGCCTCAGATGCCGGACCTGGAACTATAGGACTTAATGTTTGCTCTGTTGGATTTTGGACTTGCTTTGTTCCCATTCCTTTCTGTCTCTCTTATTTGTATCTTTTGGAATGGAAATGTTTATCTTGTGCCATTGTATCTTGGAAGTGTTTAACTTTCCTTTCATTTGAACAGGGACTCTCAGATAAGAGTTTGCCTTAAATATCAGAGGAGACTTTGGACTTGAACTTTTCAGCACTGATGAAATAATAGGACTTTGGCAACTCTTAGAGATGGAATAATTGCCTTTTTTTGCATGTGTGGGGGGAACCAGGAATCAAACTCAGGACCTTGTGCTGGCTAGGGAGGCAAGGTACCACTGAGCTAAATCCCTGGCCCTGGACTCATTGCCTTTTCCAAAAAGGGAGAGGTACATGAGTCTTTGAGGGGAGAGGCAGAATGTACAGTTTAGGTCTGCATGTTCCTTCAGATCCTGACATGGTCGCTTGGGGCTTCTCAAACATGGCTGGGTCTATAGTGTGTGATACTGGAATCAAGGGTGTGTGATTACTAAATTATTCCACTGATTGGTTTTGCATAGTTGTGGGACAGGATAATGCAAAGACCCTTCCCTGAGTGTGAGTGCTACCCACCCTAAGGGCAAGTATCCTAGATAAAATAAAGGGATGAAAAGAGAATTGTTGGTTATCACTTGCTGCTTGCTGCCTTCTGCCTGCCATGAGGTGTTTCTACCATGCCTCCCTGCCTTGGAGCTAGTGACTTTGAACTGGAACCTCTAGGAACTATGAGCTAAGTAAATCTTTCCTTCTTTACTTTTATCTTTTTTTTTTTTTTTTTTTTTTTCTGGTACTGGGGATTGAACTCAGGTCCTTGTGCTTGTGAGGCAGGCTGCAGAACCACTGAACTAAATCCCTGGCCCTCCTCCTTTACTTTTGAGTGTCAGGTATTTTGTCAGAGCAATGAAAAAAGTAACTAAGACATTCCCTCTGTGTATTGTACAGGCAGTCACAAGCATGAAGAGCTGTTTTCTGTAAAATAAAAATCTTGTTTCTCCCTCCTACACCTGCCTTAGTGGAATGTATCACTGATCTGGATTGTTTCCAGTTCATTGTTTTTATTGGGGAGAGGGTAGTATCTAAGTCTTCTTATCTTCTCTTTTTCAGCCCCTTTGATTGAAGAATGCAAATGTTAGCCAGAATGAAGTTTGTTTGTTTGTTTGTTTGTTAATTCGAACCACTGAGCTAAAATCCCCAGCCCAGGATTTTTGATAAATATTCTGGAAACCTAAAACGTTCATTTTATTATATCCTCACTAACACCTGTTTATTTTATTGACATTTTATAATAGTCCATAATTATGGAGTAAAATTTGATGCTTATTTTTATTTTAAAAAATTTTAGTGTGACAAATGATTTTAATTTATGGTCTTATTTGGTTACACTTTTAATACTACTTTAATGGTATCAACTGTTATTTATTGAGGACTTTCCTGATTGTCATAAATACAATGATTAGTAGTTTTACATGCATCATATATTTTAATCTTCTGAACTCAGTTGTAGATACTTTTATAGTTTTATAAGTGAGGAAACTGATTTTATAGAGGAAATGTGCCTTGTTCAGTGCTGTCTAGATAGGGAACTCAGATTCTGTGAACTCTTTGTAATATTACCTCACTTTTGTTTGTATAAATGAGGAATATTAAGTTTATTTTGTATATATTGGGTTAAATACATTCTTCCTTTGAATCTCAAGTATAGTTGTCTGTGATTTGTCTAGTTCTCTTAAAAGCAAAATAATAAAATGTGGTTATTGGTGGTGAGCTTAAGAGAAGTATTTTTATTTAGTTTGGTTCTGCTTAGATTATTGGCTGTAAATATTTAAAGCTGGAAGTGTTCTTAAATATTTTTCAATTTGTGTTTCTTTGCACACTTGGAAAACTTTTAAATATCCTGATCAAATAAGTTTGGATAACACTTAATATTTTCCTGTAGTAGAAAAACTCAACTTCATCCTAGAGTTTCTCAAATGTGTGTACTCTGTTTTTGTTTTTGGCACTGCTAAGATGCAGACTCACGCCCCACCTATTCTAGATGGTTTTCTGCTGAACCTCCATTCCAGACCTGTTGTGCAGTCCTTTTGTAGTACCCCTAATCCCATTTTGTGTAACAACATTTTGACATACAACAGTTTGAGTCAATGCTGATGTGTTCCATCTCTTCATTTATTCCCCTTTTTTGGTACTGTGAATCAAATTAAGGGCGTTGTGCTTGGCAGGCAGGTGCTGTGCTGCTGAGCTACATCCCTGGCTATCTCTTCTTTCTGTAAAAGGAGAAATTGTGGTTTGGTGTATTGCTTCCCCCACCACCACGGGGGACCGATTTCAGGACCTTGTGCTTGCCAAGTAGGCATGGCACCACTGAGCTACATCCCCAACCTGTGTTGCTTCTTATAGCTACTAAATGTCAGCCAGAATAAGCTTCAGTTCTTTCTTTGGATCAGGTTTAACATTTTCTTTTTCATTCATATACTCCATTAAAAAGTTGTAAAGCCAAAATATAAAGAAAGAAAAAGAAAGAAAGAAAGAAAGAAAAGGGCAAGCCAGGCGTGGTGGTGTATACCTGTAATCCCAGCATTCGGGAGGCTGAGGCAGGAGGATCGCTGTGAGTTCGAGACCAGCCTGGGTTACAAAGTGAGTTCCAGTCAGTCTCAACTACATAGTGAGACCCTGTCTCAAAAAAAAAAAAAAAAAAAAGTAAAGCAAACTTAAGTATAGTTTCTTTCATATTGCCATCGATTGCAGTTATTATTCTCTGAGAAATACATAAATGGTTGTTGATTTTTTGAGCTATTCAAGTTGTGATTTAAGAAAGCTGGATATTTAAAAATTGAAATATCTGCTATAAAGATAAAATAAATACAAATTGAAAAAAATTTATTGCAATGAAAGACAGATTGACATTAATTCCCCTCAAAATACTCCCCCTTGTTTCAAATACACTTATCCCATTGTTCTGGCCACTTTCTGAAGCATTTCTGGAAATCTTTTTCATGAGTTTTCTTTTTGTGGCTGCCTCAATATCCTGCATCTATTCAAAACATTTATAACAATTTTTCTCAAAGAAAAACGTGTGTCCCCATCTACCTTATTCAGTGGATCAGACATTGTGCAACTTCTGGCTCTTTCCCAAAGTCAAAAATGACTAAAAGGGATGTTTTGGATCAATTCAGGACACTGAGGCAATCATGAAGTGTGTTATAGACACTCATGAAAGGAGATTTCCAGAATTGCTTCAGAAATGGAAAGAGTGATAAAATAGATGTGTTAAAAGCAAGAGGGGAGAGGGAGGATCATTGACAGTGAGTTTTTTACAGTAATATTTTAGTTTTCTTTTTTCTTTTTTGGAGCCAGGGTCTCACTGGGTAGGTCAGGCTGGCCTTAAACTCGCTGTGTATACCAGGCAGGCCTTGAACTTGTGGCGATCCTCCTGCCTCAGCCTTTCAAGTGCTGGAATTACAGGTCTGTGCCACCATACCCGGCTTCAGTAATATTTTAAAATGTAAACATTTGCTGTATTTTTTTATTATACTGTATGTATGAATAGCTTGATTTATTTAGCATAAATGTTTAACTTTTTTTTTTCTTTTGATACTGGGGATCCAACTCAGGACCTTGTGCTTGCCAGGTAGGGATGGCCCCACTGAGCTAAATCCCCAGCTGTCACTTATTTTATTTTATTTTATTTTGGTACTGGGGATCAAACTCAGGTTCTTGTGCTTATGAGGCAGGCGGTGGCACCACTGAGCTAAATCCCTGGCCTCCCACTTGTTTTTACAAGTGAAATGTAATTTTTTCCTTGATTACCATTTCACAAGTGTTTTATTTAGTTTCTGTAGAAAATGTTTCCTGACTGCAATGAGAGAAAGTGGAATACATTGTCCCTTGTGTCGTGGAAATGTGACTAGAAGAGAAAGAGCGTGTCCAGAACGGGCCTTAGATCTGGAAAACATCATGCGAAAGTTTTCTGGTAGCTGCAGATGCTGTGCAAAACAGGTAGAGTCAATTGATACACTCTTTTGAAAGTTAAAAGTTCTACTCTGAAATTTTTGTTTGAATTCTCTTGGTGGGTGCTGTTTTTAAGGGAAAGATGTTATTTATGTTGGGAAGTAGGTTGAAAAGCCCAAAAAAGGTATGGGTGTTGAATTTACCAGATTAGAAGCTTTTTGGGAACAAGAGACTGACCAGTACAAATCTTTGAATTTTTCATAATTCTTATGATGGTATTTTCCTCAAAGTACTCTCATTGATTACTTTCTAAATTAACTAAACATTTAGACCATTTGTACCCCAATGTGTTACATATTCAACCCTTAAATAGTTTTTTGTTTGTTTGTTTGGTACCAGGGATTGAACTCTTCACTTGATCTTAGCCAAAAGGCCGAGAAGCGATAGGGATTGAACTCTTTACGTTGCGCTTGCTTTCGAGGCAGGCGGACCACTGAGCTAAATCCCCACCCTAGTTTTTTGTTTTGTTTTGTTTTGTTTTTTTGGTTTTTTGAGACAGGGTCTCACTCTATAGGTGAGACTGACCTGGAACTCACTATGTAGCCCAGGCTGGTCTCGAACTCACAGCGATCCTCCTGCCTGAGCCTCATGAGTGCTGGGATTACAGGCATGAGCCACCATTCTGTGTTTTTTTTTTTTTTTTTTTTGACGGTAACATTATTATAACTTTACACATAAAATGTTAATAGTTTAGCCAAATGAATATAATTAATCAAGGAACTTTCTAGCTGCCCATTTTATTTATGTAGTTGTCTAAGAAATCACACGGTAGTTTACAGATGACTTTGGTTCATTTTTAAGGAACAGGTGGAAAAATCAGATGTTGGCAAATAGCCAGCATTGATTTGCTGATCTTGACTTCATTGTTCTAGTGGAGAATGAATGAAATGGTGAGGAGTGGTTAGGCATTGAGTATATCTATGTCCCTATGAATTTATTGTAGATATTTTTTTTTTCTAACAGCTTATAAAGTCAGTGAGCAAAGCCAGTTGCTATTTTTTTGCATTCATACTGAAGTGAAGCTGGAAACATACTTGAGAGGTTCTGGCTTTACTCTTTAGTAAGAAACTGAAAAATATTCCCAGTATTAACCTGGGAACTTCATTTTTAATTTATTTATTTTTTGTTTGTTTTTTGTTTTTTTGAGACAGGGTCTCACTATGTAGTTGAGACTGACCTGGAACTCACCATGTAGCCCAGGCTGGTCTCAAACTCACAATGATCCTCCTGCCTCAGCCTCCCAAGTGCTGGGATTACAAGTGTGCGCCACCACACCCAGCTGGAACTTCATTTTTTAAAAGTACTTTGAAACTCTTCCAGGTTATAGCAGTTAAATAAAGAAATGCCCAATAGCCTGAGCCTGAAGCAACTTCTTAGTGATTTTCTTCTTCTTCTTTTTTTTTTGTTTTGTTTTGTTTTGTTTTGTTTTTATGAGACAGGGTCTCACTGTGTAGTTGAGACTGACGTGGAACTCACTATGTAGTCCAAGCTGGTCTCGAACTCATAGCAAAACTCCTGCCTCAGCCTCCCGAGTGCTGGGATTACAGGCGTGTGCCACCATATCCTGCTCTTCTTTTTTTTAATAGTATTATTTCAAGTGTAAAATTACTAGTCAATTTTTTTTGCAGTGTTTGTAGAAGATAGACTCCTGTCCATGGTCATAGTCTCTGCATCTACAGAACAAAAATATATTACCTATTTTAGTTCCTACTTAAGAATTAAGGAGAAGTAAAAAGAATTTTAGTATATGTTATGTACATGTGTCATGATGCTCCTCATGATGAATGTAATTATTGCAAACATGTACTAATAAAAATAAAACATTTTAAAAGAAATATATCATTTTTTAAAAGATTGCTTAAATGAAATATTTAACATTCTTATCCTTTTTGTTGACAGTATATCAAATCTTGAATTCTATTTTAAGTTAAAAATCACATTTTTAATCAATAATTTGCAGATTAAGTTTTATCGTATGAGACATCATTATAAATCATGTAAGAAGTATCAGGATGAATATGGGATTTCTTCTATCATTCCAAACTTTCAGATTTCTCAAGATTCTGTAGGGAATAGGTAAGCCATATTTATTTCTAAAATAATATTTATAATTGAAATGGAATTGTTTGGGACCTGTCTTTTTTAATTCTTGTGTGCTTAAATTTATTTAATGTAATTAAGTAGCAGAACTATAACATTTATCTTCAAAATTTGTTTGGCATATTTAAAGTTGTATATAGTAGTGTCTAGATTGACTTCATGATGTGCTTAAGCTTGTGTTATAAAATCATTCCAAGAATGTACAATTCTGTTAGTAAAAATTTAGAATTGAAGGCCTTTTTTAAAAATTGATTTTGCAGCAGAAGTGATTTGAAATCTAGAGAAAAATCCCTTTCAATAGTTAACTTGAAATTTGATTTTATTGTTATTTAACAAATAAGAGTTATTTGAAATTTTTATCCTGATAATGTCATATAAAAACTGAGACTTAGTATTATTAAATTCTTCTATTTTAGTCTCTCTCTTTTTTTTATGGTACTAGGGATTTAATTTAACTCAGGACCTTTACCCTGAGCTACATCTCCAGCCTTTATTTATTTTGAGATGGAGTCTTAACCAATTGTTCTAGTGTTATTCCTTGAGGAATCTATTCTTTCCTCACTAATTTAAAATGCCTGTCTGTCCTGCACATCTCTGTATCCTACTCCTTTGGTTTATTTTTCATTGCTCTGTTACTGCACTATTGTACTCTGTTAATTCCTATGGACTTCATAGTAAGTTTCCTATCAGGTAGGGCAATTTCCATCTTTGTTTTACTTTTAAAAAGGTGCTTGTTTTTACCTTTGCTCATATAAAGGTTGTATTGTGTCTTTTCCTAGTAAAACCTTAAGGTTTTATGGATAAATAAATGGACTTTTTGTTTTTAATACTCATTTCTTTTTAAAAAATAATCTCATTTCTTAATAATGAGTAGGAATTTATAGATTTTTATCCATTGTCTGTGTCTAGCAACTTTGGTTATTAATTATAATAGTTCTAATAATTTACCTATAGGTTCTTTTAGATTTATTTTTATTTTTATTTTTTCTTTCTTTTTTGGTCTATTGCTTATGTGGTCTTGGTGTCTTTTAACTTAAGCTTCATATCATACTCGGTTTATTGTATTAAATAGGCTTTCTGTCTGGTGTTACACAAGACATCTTTTTTTTTATTTCTGATTTTTTTTGGCGGGGATACTGGGACCAAACTTGGGTCCTTGGGTTTGTGAGGCAGGTGGCAGAACCACTGAGCTACATCCTCAGCTTATTCCTGATCTTAGTGGGAATGTAATCTAACATTTTACTGTCAAGTATGATGCTTACTATAGTTTTTAACATTGATTGAAATTCCTTTTAGAGTGGTAAAGTAACTAAAAATATCTGTATGTATATGCTCCATGATGATAGCACCCAGAATTTGATTTCTTTGCTAAGTGGTTCTACTCAAATTGGAATAATTTATGGAATTTACACACAAGTACACACATTTGGCTTAACTGATGTTTAAAGTCTAAAATGCAGACCCAAATATTCTGATGTCTGGGATCTAAAATACATACTGTGCTGGGTGTAGTGGCATATACCTATAATGCCAGCACTCAGGAGGCTGAGGCAGGAGAATTACCGCAAATTTGAGGCAAGTCTGGACTACATGGTGAGTTCAAAGCTAGCCTGGACTACATAGTAAGACCCTGTCTCAAAAAAATAAAATATATATTGTGATTATATTTTTAACAACTGATACGGGTGAGCTAGGAACAGTGGCATATACCTTTAATTCCAGCACTCCAGAGGCTGAAGCAGGAGGATCTCAAGTACGAGGCCAGCCTGGGCTACATAAATGTGGCTAGAACCTGTCTCCAAACAAAACAAAGCAGAACAAAACAAAAACAAAGCAATTATGCATTTCTGGATGTTAGCCAGGCATGATACAAGGTTGACTATGGAAGACTACACTGATGATAATGCCAGTCTGGAAAGTGGAGAGTAATAATGAGAGAGCAAAGAAAACATTTGAAAATCAGAAGTTCTATAAGCTGAGTTGTTCCTACTTATAATCCGTATACTTTTATGAGACTGAAGCAGGAATATTGAGAGATTGAATCCAGCCTAGGTAACTTAGTGACTTCGACTACTTCAAAATTAAAAATCAGAAAAACTTAAAGATGGCTGGGGATGTAGCTCAGTAAAAAGGCCGGGTTCAATCCCCAGTACTATCCCCCCCAAAAGTTAGGATTGTATACTCCTATCAGTAAAGTAATTGAGTATGTACTTCCAGTATTTGTATGTTTCTTTAAAAACAATGCATATCTTTTGAAGACCTGATACTTTATGTACAATTTAAGTGCAGTGCTGGCTGGCCTCAAACTTGTGAGCCTCTTGCTTGCCTCAGTCTGCTGTGTGTTAGGATTACATGTGTATGCCACCATGCCCAGCTGAAGAACCTTTATAAAAGTGATCACACTGATAAAATTCTTTAGCTTAAAACTGACAGTCCCTGGATGGAGGAGCCATGTTACTTTGGGGTAGGACCCAAGTAAAGATGTCAGCATGTTCTATGTATTAAATGTTAGTAAAGCCTAGTTAGTTTCTTTTAGAAGAGTGAAATATGACCTTTTAAAATGTTGAAATATTTTATTAAACTTGCTCCATTTTGGAGTTCATAACCTTAAACCATTTCCTAGCTATTTGTAAAAATTGCATAAAATTTTTGAGTGTACATCACCATTTAAAAATGTATTGGTAGGATACAGTACTGTCCTACATCAATAGTACTAGATTCAGTTTTGGTTTGAAATTTACTTTGTCTGCAAATAAGATTGCTAGTAGGGACCGTGCTTTATCAGAGCTACATTTAATGATATTACTCTAGAATGGTCTCTTTCCAGATGATGATTACGAGGCTAATAGAAAAAAATGGTGCCAGGTACCACAACAGCAACAGAACTTTGCTGTTGTCTGGATATTATTCTTTTCTTTTTCTTTTTTTTTAATGGAATGTGCTGAATGTCTATAATTTTGTTCAGATGACTGCAGAAACTGGAAAAGCTGTTGCTGCTATCGATGCATAACATACCATTATTAGTCTTTATATATACACACACACACACACACACACATATATAAATTGAGTTTTGGGAAACTTTAACGGTGCTGCCAACTTTGGAAAAAGTCATCCCAATTTACTGTGTTGACTTGGCATTGTACAGAAATGGACAACCGTATTGGTATAGAAATGTTAATTTATTTTTATTTATTTATTTATTTTTTCCATATGTACAGGGGTAACACATTGTACTAAATATGTAAGGTCATATCTACTTGGGTTTGATTACAGAAACTAGGAAAGTATTCTCTAAATAATGAAAAAAAGAATAAGATAAGACTATAAGAGCGAGAAGCAATTTAAATATGTTCAGGGACCATTTTCATCTCCAGAATTAAGGATTATTTTGATGTTACATCATTGCCTTTTCTCTTTTACTTTCCTTTTTAGTTTTATTTTAGGATTCCCTATTTTTAATGTTCATACAGAGATTTCTTTAACTGAAATACCGAATAGTGAAAAACTACAGTAGTACACAGGATCCTAATGAGATAATTAATAATGTGAAATAGTAAGTAAAGGGCTAAAGGTGTAAGGAAAGTGGGAAGGGTGGGGGAAAGGTAATAAGGGAGAGGAAAAAAATATGAGAAATTGAAAAAATTGAAATAAAGTGTTTGTAAATGGGGAGGGGAGGAGGGGGTGAAGGGAGGGCAGGGACAAGGGGAAAAATGAGAAACAAGACCTATTATGTAAAGGTACAGAATCCCAATGATGAATGTAATTGTATTGTATACCTAGATTGTACCAATAACCTCAATAAAAAGGAAAAAAAATAAATCTAGCTGCATTCTCCTTTAAAAAAAAATGTATTGGTAGATGAATAGAATTCAGATAAATGCAAAATTCTGTATTCTGTAATCAGTATTTTTAGTAATTGCTTATTCATTTTAAAAGACATGAGTCAAGTCCTAATAAGCAGTCTTAATTTAATTTACTTGAAGTAAGCAATGCCATACTTTTACTGCTTTCTTTCTTTTTTATTTTAGCATATCTGAAATTTTTAATCCTTTCTTTACAGGTTACTACTAGATCACTTTGATTAAGAACACTGTAGAAAGTAACTGCCACAAGTGAACGCCAGGTGGTGTCACGTGTCAATTTTCCACAGAGTCCTGTTTTGCAGGGTGTCTGAATGCACTGCTTGGGGTCTCTGCTCACACTTGCTGGAATCATTTGTGGCAGATTGTAGTCCACAGGTCGCTTTTCCTCATTTCTTTGTAAACTCTTCAGCATTCTTAGAGAATTTTTTTCGGTTCTTAGAGTATTCTTCACCTTGGTCAGCCCCGAGCAGGTGCTCAGGGTGGGGGTCATTCACCAGTGCTCTGATGGATTGGATTACTTGCTTGGTCTTGGTCGCTGGCTTCCAGTTCTCAGTACTAATTACTGGCAGGCAAACCTGTACTCTTTTATCAATGTTTGGTGATAGATCTTTGTTTTAAATGTGATCTTTGGGGGCTTGAATGAATACTCTGCTGGAAAGTTGATTTTGATTCTAAAGCTCCCCCTTATCATATAGAGGGTTGTCAGGAACAATTAAGCCCTTCCAAGTCAATAAATTAGCTTCATCAACCTGGATGTTATGGAAGTTTTTAATTCCACATTTGTGGATCTCTTCAAGCTCCTTCATCAGCCTCCTGCTGGCCGCCATCTTGGATCTGGTGCTGCTTCTGTCCCAGAATTGCCATACTTATGTCATACTGAGGAACCATTTGAAGTTCAGACTTTTAAGCAAATCCAGTCTAGTTTTCTTTATTAACAATTCAAGTTAATGAACCTCTAATGGGCTTTATTAAAAAAGTTAAAAGTATTAACTTTTCTTCCCCTGTGCTTCTTAAGTAATAGGAGTGAAACATCCACATCTGATAATAGAGACACTTACCAAGAGAATACAAGGTAAGCTTTTGAAAAATTCTACCACTTTACTAAATAATATTCATCACTTTATCAAATAACAATCATTTTTTTGGTAGGTTTGTGATACTGAGAAGTGAACCCAGGGCCTTGCATTTGCTAGGCCAAGTACTTTATCACAGAGCTGCAAGCTAGCCTTAGATTTTTGGTTAAATTTTTGTTCAGTTAATTCTGTAGCTTATAGTCCTAGAATTTAGTAGTTTAGAAATAAACAACATACTTGCTGCTTTTCAGAATCATATCAGATTAGCCAGGGGTGGTGGTGGCACATACTTGTAATACCTGCACTCAGGAGGCTGAAGCAGGAGGATTTGTGTGTTGTGTGTAGTCTGGGCTACAGTGAGTTCAGGGCCTGCTTGAACTACATGGCAAGACTGTCACAAAAACAAAAAAGAATCGCATCAGATTAGAAGAGGCTAGCAGTTCTCTTTGACTGTTACATTTCTTTCGTTGTACAACTCAGGTAGTTGTCTGTTCAAACCATTCCTTGCTGACTCTCAGAGGTATTAAAACCTCATTGATGCTTGATCTTTAGAAAATCTGAAGTACTTTATTCTGGTCAGGTTTTTTGTTTGCTTGTTTGTTTGTTTGGTGGTTTGGTGGCTTTTTCCTCTGAATGTTGTAAATTATATTTGTAGGGCACAGGATAGATTAACATGTTTTACTGATGGTTCAAGCAGTGAGACTTAGAAATCATGGCCACATTGTGAATGTGTTAAAGATGAATTCAATGAGGTCTTTAAAAAGTTTTATATCCCTAGATATGAGGTGTCCAACCTATGAGGCATTACAAGATATTTAAAAATTTCAGGGGGCTGGGAATTTAGCTTAGTGGTGCTGCTGGCTACCTCACAAGTGCAAGGTCCTGAATTTGATGGTACCAAAAAAATAAAAATTTCAGGGTAATTTGTGGCATTACATGAATGATTGACAATTGAGGTCCAAACTACTTGAAAACAGCTAAGTTTTTGTTTTTACTTTGGGCCGGATAGGCACCATGAGGAAAATGAATAAAACAGTAGAACTATCAGCTGAGATTGAGAATTTTTATTCCAGATCATTTGTTGAAAACGTATTTTCAAAAACAAGATAATCTTTGAATGGTATGTTACGATTTTTCAATTGAAAGTTTAATTTTGTTTTTCTTTTAGTTCTTCTGGGCATCCCACATTTAAGTGTCCCTTGTGCCAAGAGTCCAATTTTACCAGACAGCGCTTACTGGATCACTGTAATAGTAACCACCTATTTCAGATAGTTCCTGTGGTAAGTACAAGTGTTTAAGGCAGTCTCGTGTTTAAAGCATGCTGATCCTTTTGTTTCATATACAGGGAAAGGGAGATCAATGATTTAAATTTAGAATGAGGCTGGGCAAGGTGGTGCATGCCTTTAATCCCAGCACTCGGGAGGCTAATGCAGGAGATCGCCACAAATTCGAGGTGAACCTGGGCTACATAGTGAGTTCAAGGCTAGCCTGAATTGCATAGTGAGATCTTGTCTCAAAAAAACCAGAAAAAGGAAGGGGCACTGTCAATAAATAGATCTTTGTCAAATGATTGGTGACTATGAAACAAAATAAGTTAATTAAAATCTAGTAATTTAAATCATAAAATGGGAGATGCTTATAGGGAGGTAGTATAGAACAGTCTGGAAAAAAGTAATGAAAAATGAACATAGGACTGATTATTGAGTAATGGCAGAACCTGTTTCTGTTGAGTCCTTTTGGTTTCTTGCCCTGTCAGCTGTAGACAGTGGTTCTAATCAGATGGATTTGTTACAGGTAAAAATACCTATAAACAGTAAAGCCAGTAGGTATTTTCATTTGTATCCTTGCGGGACCTGGTATAGTATATAATTTCATAAAGCAAAGAAGGAAAAGAAGCATACTTTGTTTTTGATGTATACATATGTCTTTGATGCCATTTTGAAGGTGAATTAGAAAATGATGGGACCTCTGAGGAAGGTAGAGCTGAGTGCAGGGTGCCTGCATTGTGGTAACGGTTCTAGAACAGCTCACTTTGAACATGAGTTTCCCAGATAAATGATTTTTAACTGTGTCTCCTGGAATAGGAGCAACTGAGCTGAAAAGAAATACTTCCTTTTCAGCTAAACATTTTGATATATCAGTATTGGCTTCAAAAACATGAATGGAGGAAAGTGTATCAACACAAACTGTAGCTACTTCTAAGATGTTTTACTGGATGTTAAAACAATTTGTGAAAAATATATTCTGCATTAACTGTTGAAAATTCCTTTGTACTCTTGCATACCCTACAGGAAATGTATCACCTACTTCACTCTTTGGAAAGGCATCAGTTTCTCTCAAATAAATATAGTGCCTTAGGAAATCCTTTCATATTTAAGAGATGACATATACTTTTATATTGGACTACCAAATTTTTATTTATTGTTGCATAATATTGAATGTATTATAAACTTCAGCTAATGTCCAGTTAATAAAGTTCCTTTTATATCATTTCAGTATTTCATCCATTCACTTTTATAGTTGTACTTCATTTAAAGCTTTAAGGATACAACTTCAACTTTATAATTCTTTCATTTTCATTTTATATGCAAGTGAATAAATATTTCACTAGTTTTGTGTAGATCAAATGAGTTAATGATAACTCATTAGAATTGTTTTTTTTTTGTTTTTTTTTTTGTTTTTTTTGGTGTACCGGGGATTGAACTTGGGTCCTTGTGCTTGCAAGGCAGGCACCTGAACCACTGCTAAATCCCCGGCCCAGAATCAGTTTTAAAAGGTCGAATGTGGTGATTCTGTTGAGATAGTTGTGTAAAGGGAGATTAAATAATAGAATATCTAAGCTCTCTTGCTACATTGTATTGTATTACTGTTGTTTAAGGTAATTTAGTTGGGAAACCATCAAGTCATGGAATTTGGCCCTTGAAATGTTTTTCATGTACAGGCAGGCATACCTTGGACATACTGCAGGTTTTGTTTCAGCTCTCTCCAGTAAAGCAAATATTGCACAAAAAAGTAAAAAGTTTTTTATTTCATGTGTAAATAAAAGTTAGTTTTACACTATATAGTTTTTTAAAAGTCTGCAGCAGTCAGGCGTGGTGGCGCATGCCTAGTTTGAGGCCAGCCTGGTCTATATAGTGAGTACAGTGCCAGCTTGAACTACAAAATGAGACCTTTCCAAAAAAAATGTCTGCAACAGTACCGTGTCCAACAAAACAGTCTACATATTTTGGATGAATAATACTTTATTGTTAAAAAAAAAAATTATTTAATGTCTGGAAAAAATGGTGATAGTTAGACTTGGTTCATGCGGGATTGCCACAAACTTTCAATTTGTAAAAAAAAATATTTCTGTAAAATGCAAGCAAAGTGTAGTAAAACAAGATATGCCTGAAGTTTTTTAGTAATGTAGCCAGTTTTAATACTCTCAATAATAATATAATGTTTGATTATTTTCATTATTTTTTATTCAAAACAATCTGTTTCTTGTAGACTTGTCCTATTTGTGTGTCTCTTCCTTGGGGAGATCCTAGCCAGATTACTAGAAATTTCGTTAGTCATCTAAATCAAAGACATCAGTTTGATTATGGAGAATTTGTGGTGAGTTCTTCAAAATTAAGAAAGTACTGTCTCAATCAAGTTAAATTGACTTTCAATCTAGAATTGAGTTTTTTTTGGGGGGATACCAGGGATCGAACTCAGTACCTTGTGCTTGTGAGGCAGACACGGTGCCACTGAGCTATATCCCCGGCCCTAGACTTGAGTTTTTTTGGGGGTTTTTTTTTTAGTATGGGGGATTGAAGTTGGGACCGTGTCCTTGCAAGGCTAGACTTGAGTTTTAAGGCAAGCAGTTGGATCATACTGTTTGGATTTAAAACATATTCTTTTGTTTTTGGTAATAATATTGGTGAACGTTAAATAAATGATAAAAATTGAATTTGCTTGTTTATATGAGAGAGGATTAATAGAATTGCAAAGCCCTGCTTGGCACTGTGGTAAGTGCCTGTATTCCTAGAGCACTCTGGAGGCTGAGGCAGGAGGATTGTGAGTGAGCTCAAAGCTAGCCTGGCTTACATAGGGTGTTGATGGCCAGCTTGGACTGCCTAGCAAGACTATCTCAAAAAAGTTAAAGAAAAGAAAAAAGGAACAAACTTCCAGATTAACTAAATGATAATTTATATTAAAACTCTGACTATAAAATTAAGGAAAAATTGTGCCTACTTGAGAGGTAAAATTGGTACAACATACTGAGGAGGATATATTTCTCATCTAGTGTAAATTGCTTATTAAAACCACTGTAATAGTGCTCTCATCTCTAGCACATGAGACAATTTATTTACTCACTTTTTACTTTTTTTGTTCTTCAAATGGAAGAGCTTAATTATAAAGACAAGGTGACACAAGGTGAGTGAAGGAAGTCATATGTCAAAGTGGCTCTATAGGGGCTGGGAATGTAGCTAAATGGTAATGCGCTTTCCTATCATACACAAACTCCTGTGCTCAATTCGCAGTGGTGCAAAAGCAAAATAAAACGAGGCTCCCAAAAGCAGAAATGTGTTATAATTTTTAAAAAGCTAGATGGTTTCTTTTATTAATTTTTTTGAAGCAAAACATTGGTGCATTTTAGATATACATAGTGATGACATTCATCACAGGGAATTTGTACCTGTACATAATACATCTTGCTTCTTTTTTTTCCTATTTCTTCCCTTCCTCTTGATCCCTCTTCCCCTCCTTACATACAAAAGCTTTGTTTCCATTTTTTCTTATTTTCTTTTTTCTTGTGCCTTCTTTCCATTTCTCCTCCCCCTTCCCTTGTTTCCCTTCTCAATTGAACATTTTCTTCTGATTTCCTAATATCTATCATACATTTTAACTCTTCTACTTTTGGTTTCTAATAACAGAGAAACAATGTGGTATTTAAACATGTTTGTCCAATTTGTTTCATGTAAGAGTATGGACTCAAGGTGCATCCATTTAGCTGTAAATGTCTCAAGCTCTTACAAGGCAGGTGGAACCACTGAGCTAAATCCCGGCCCAAGCTCATTCTTTATGGCAGAGTAGTACTCCACTGTATTAAAAATCACATTCTCTTTCCAACCATTTGTTGGTTGATGAGCCTTTGAGCTATTTCCAAGATTTAGCTAACACAAACTGTGCCACTATAAACATGGGTGTGCATATATCACTGTGATATGATGCTTTTAGTTCTTTAGAGAAGCTATCAAGAGAAAGGGAATAGCTGGGTCAAATAGAACTTCTAGTTTTAGTTTTTTTATGCTGATTTCCACAGTGGTTGCACCAATTTGTACTCATATACCAATAGTAGAGAAGGGTTTCTTTTTCCCCACAGCCCCTCCAGCATTTGATATTGGTTGATTTCTTTTTTCTTTTCTTTTTTTTGGGGAGGGGTTTTGAGACAGGGTCTCACCATGTAGTTGAGACTGACCTGGAACTCACTGTGTAGCCCAGGCTGGTCTTGAACTCATAGGTATCTTCAGCCTCAGCCTCTGGAGTGCTGGGATTACAGGTGTGCACCACCATGCCTGACCTGGTTGATTTCTTGATAGCCATCCTTTCTGTAGTGAGGTGGAATCTTATGTTTTTATTTGCATCTCTCAAATGACTAGTGACGTTGTACATTTTTTCACGTTTTTGTCTGCTGTCTCTATGTCTTCATCTGAGAAGTGTCTATTCATTTCAGATGCTCACTTTTGGATTGGGTCTTTATTATTTGGGGGGGTGTGTGTCTGTTTTTTTTTTGGTGCCAGGGATCAAACTTGGATCCTTGCACTTGCAAGGCAGGCAGCAGAAACACTGAGCCAAATCCCTGGCCCAAGATCTGATTTCTAAAAATTTTTACATATTCTAGATAGTAGTCCTTTGAGGAACAGCTGGCAAAAAGTATTTCCCACACTGTGGGTTGAAACTTCACTCTGTTTGGTTGGTGGTTTCTTTTGCTGTGCAAAAGCTTTTTAATGAGATCCCTGTTGTTGATTCTTTGTGGCAGTTGAGGTTTTATTCATAAAGTCTTCCCGTACACCAATGTCTTTGAGAGTTCTACCTATTCCATCTTCTAGCAGATTGTTTCTGTTTTAGTATTTAGACCTTGGATCCATTTCCATTTTAGTTTAGTGTATGGTGAAAGATGCGGGTCTAATTTTAATGTTTTACAAGTAGAAAGTTAGTTTTTCAAGCACCATTTATTAAAGAGACTTTCTTCCACTGAAGGTGTTTGTCAAAGATAAGGTGACTGAATTGAATGAGTTGTTTCTGCATCTTCTATTCTGTTACATTGATCCTCAGGTCTGTTTTTTTTTGCCAGTACCATACTGTGTTTATCACAGTATGTGCTTTGTAGTATAATTTCAAGTCAGGGATTGTAAATGCCTTTTTTCTTGCTTTTGTTGCCTAGAATTGCCTTTGCAATTGTAGGTCTGTTCTGGTTGGAAATGAATTTTAGGATTGTTTTCTCTGACTCTGAGATATTGCTGTTGGAATTTTGATTGAAATTGTATTAAATCTGTATAACAACTTTCGGAAGTATAAGCATTTTCACTATATTGGTTCTTCCTACCCAAGAACAAGGGATATCTTTCCATTTTCGGATATCCTTTTCAATCTCCTTTAGTGTAGTTTTCAGTGTAGAGGTGTTTAATTTTGTTAGATTGATTCCTAGGTATTTCATTTTTTTGGATGCTATTGTGAAAGGTGTTTCCATAATTTCTCTTTCAGTTAATTTGTTATTCATGTGCAGGAAGGATACTGATTTTTAGTGTTGATTTTGTTTTTTTGTTTTTTTTTTTGGTATGGGGATCGAACTCAGGTCCTTGTGCTTGCCTGGCAGGTGCCAAACCACTGAGCTAAATCCTCAGCCCTTGAGTGTTGATTTTGTATCCAGCTATGCTACTGATTTGGTTATTAATCTTTTATTAATTATGAAATTGTATTTTATTCAACTTTAATGTAATTAAGACTGATTTAAAATTCTGATAAAGAATGGCTAGTATTTGTTTTCCAGTTTAAGTAAAGACAGGCATGTGCACTTCTCACAATAGCATGTATGAAGTTAATATTTTTTCTTTGCCCTCCATGTTGAAATATGACATACTTTTTGATACTTAAATTTTTTTTTAAGTTATTTATTTTTTCGTTGAGTTTATTGGTACTTTTTACGTTTACAATCAGTTATGTTCATCATTGGGATTTTGTATCTTTATATGACAGATCTTGGTTCTCATTGCATACTATTTAAAATTTGGTGGAATTTGTACATTTAATCTACTTTTGCAAAATAAAACGTGTGTGAAGTTCATGTGTACTCTGTTGTCTTAGCCATTATATTAAGTAACTGTAGATTATTACTCAGTTTTCCTCATATAAGAAAAGTTACTGTGCCTGGAGGACAGTTTTGATCTGAATGTCAGATTGTATTACCTTGCCATAGGAAAACTATATAAGTGTAATTTTTTAAGGTTAAGTAGAAGCCTTTCTATTTGAAAGCAAATCCATGGGACATAAAATTAGTAGCAAATAGTATTTTTGAAGTTAAGGAGTAGGTGGTTGGTTTTTGTTTCACACTCAGGACCTTGTGCATGCTAATAAACACACATACCACCACTAAGCTACACTCTCAGCCACGAACTAGTTTTCTCATATAACTTAGATTGTAACTATAGTTTTCAGTTTTATGTTCTGGTTAAGGAACTATTAGTTTTTCAAGTTTTAATATATGCTTATTTTCTCTTAAAATTAGTTTGCCTTCAGATGTTTGGGATTCTTTTCTAGAAATAACACAAATTTACCTCACATGACTGTGGATTACAATTAAGTATAATTTTTTAAAGTATAATTTTGATTAATGATTACCAGGCTTTATAAATTTATCTGCCCCACTGTCTGATAGTACTCATTTCTAAATAATTACAACTGAACCTAATTTTTTTTTTTTTGTACTGGGGATCAAACTCAGGACCTTGTACTTGCAAGGCAGGTGGCAAAACCATTGAGCTAAATCCCCAGCATGAAACTAATTTTTAATTAAAGTTGAAGTGTTTAAGTCTTACTTAAAAAATGTGTAAATCTTAATTTAAAAGATGGAGTCCTGCTATATTATCCAGGCTGGCCTGAACTTCTGGGCTCAAATGATCTTTCTTTCTAACCCTCCAGAGTCAAAGGGACTATAGTGGCATGTCATTGTGCCCCTTAATGTTACATTTTAAAGTATACTTTATGGTAGACAAATTGTCCTGGGTATGTGTAATGTATATCCACATGTGCAGTATATTGGGAAAAATACTGAATGATTGCGTATTTTCCTATTGACATGTTAATTCTTTTTTTGTTTTGTTTTGTTTTGTTTTTAAGAATCTTCAGATGGATGAGGAAACCCAGTATCAAACTGCTGTTGAAGAATCTTTTCAAGTAAACATCTAGAGTCTTTAGACATCTCTGCATCTTTGTATCTGCAAGTGCCATGTTTAAGGGGGAAATTACATGAAGTCATCATTTCAATAACTTGATGTGTATATTAATAAAAGTAACTCAGTCTATTTAAGTTTTTTAATTAAAACAATGAAAGAGGGCCACTTAAAATTTTTACTTCATCCTCTTGACAAGTAAAAAAAAAAAAAAAGAAAGTTACAATATTACTTTAAAAGCATGAAAAAGATTGTACTTTTATCTTTTTATATTACATATGATTGGATTTTTCATTATTATGTTGCATTTGAAATTTGGTGCAGTTCCTCCCATTGACTTTTTTTTTTTTTTTTTTTTTTTTTTTTTTTTTTTTGGTTTTTTGAGACAGGGTCTCACTATGTAGTTGAGACTGACCTGGAACTCACTATGTAGCCCAGGCTGGTCTCTAACTCACAGTGATCCTCCTGCCTCAGCCTCCCAAGTGCTGAGTTAACAGGCATGGGCCACCATGCCCAGCCTCCCCTTTTTTGTACACAAGTAACACCATAGCAAACTCTGAAAGATGCAATTAATGTAAACCTAACAAATTTGAACCAATTGTCAGAGCTGCAGAATGGAATGTTGAAGTGCTAAATGGAATAATCCAAAGGAAGTTTTTAAAAATACATTCTAGCCGAAGAATTCAACTATGAAAAAATTGTATTTATATAACACTTAGTAGTTTTTAAAGTAGTGAGAATTTTTTTAAGTAATTAAACTTTAAAAACTGAAATGTTGTTTTAAAGATATTTTCTTTTTGCTATTAGCAGGATATGTCAAGACAAAAATGTATTTCTTTGATGGACAGCTGGCCATTTCAATCTTGTTTAATGAATTTGTAAGCCTGATACCAATCTGAATGACAGTTCTTTGGCGTTGGAACTTTCAACAGCCAGTGTTTCTCAGTAGCTTAGATGAAACAGTAGAAACTTTCAGGTGGTAATATATTCTACAGAGAAATAAGATTTTTAAAGAGATGCATTCAAAGCTACAGATACATATGCATACATTTTTGTATGTGTGCATATATACATTACATGTACATCTTTGCATGCAATTTGTCAGGTTATATACAAAATTTCTATTAAGGATTTTTAAAATGGGAAAGCAATATAGGATTGAAGTATTTATGTGTTTTGATTAAAATTTTATATGTCTCTGAATTTTTAAAATGTAACAAATGTTAAATGGAATAGTTGGCTGCTATTACATCTTAAAAATTAAGTTTACACACAGTTATCTGTATATGGTGCTCATTTGTTACTCACAAATAATGTGCAACTGGTAGATTTTTAATAGCCACTGTTTCACTACTTTTTAGTCAAAATGAAATTTGTGCATAGTATTCAGTAATGGGAATCCTAAAGTATTTTGTAGAAGGGCCAAATTACAGAATAAAGAATGAAGAGTGGATTTGCTGACATTCCATACTAATATACAATGTTTATGCTTTCTTTGAAATAAATAACTTAAAGAACATAAAAGAAAATCTCAGAAGTAGTTTGCTGCTAATATATACATATATTGTATAAAAAGATATATTTTGGTTCTCTTAAACCCTTGTTGACTTTTCTATAGTGAACATTTTTTTAAACTTGATTTAATAAAAGTGTTACTTTTGGAAGTGGAGTTTTATAAAAACCTTTTTCAGTCAAACAGTGATGACTTTATTTATAGATAGTTATAACAATCACAAAAAGCCATGCATCTTAATGCCTTTGTTCTTTCATTTGCAAGAGTGATGTTTACTACATAAACATTTTCTCTGCACCTATATGAGTGATTTTAAGAATAACTGTACTAAGAACTCTTTAAAAAGAGACTTTTAGGCCTGTGGATTTAGCTCAGTGGTGCCGCTGCCTGTCTTGCAAAGTCCTAAGTTTGATCTCCAGTACCAAAAAAAAAAGAGACTTTGACCATAGTTTTTCCAATTTAAAGCAATAATTTTAGTAATTTCTCATGTCCAATGTATCAATTTAAACCATTTTGAAATTTGTAAGCTTCTTTAAAGGAAAATTATAGTCGAGATCATTTTGATGAATATATTTTGAAATTTTTTGAATTGAGTTACATATAAACAGTTGTGTGTCTTTCATATAAACTTTTTCATAAGGAAAATAGTGACTTTGCTTTTTTTCTGGGGACTTCTCAGTATGGGAGTAATTGTTTAAAATGTCTTTTTGTCAGTGGGTTGGGAATAGATGGTAGACTGCAGATATAATGAATGATAAATTAATGTATGAAAAAAGTCCTTGTGTTTAATACTGCTTTTAACTGAGGATAAAATAAGGAACTGTTAATACTTGAATGCCTAAGTTTCACAAACCACTTAGGAGAGCTTTCTCAACAAATTACCATTTTTACAGGTCTTATTTGAAATGTATGACTTTATTTTTCAATTAAAAGTGGCTTTCTCCTGCTTGTGTGTCTAATTAAAATTTTGTCTGGAGGCAAACAACATTTAATACATAACTCAGCTTGAAAGAGAACCCATTTTTAACTTTAAAAAGTAGGCGAAAGCTACCACATGCTGACACTATCTGTTGAATTTAACTTTATAAACTTGTTTTATCTATTTCAGATATTAAATACTTTATCATAAGTCTAAAAAGTGTCTGTGTAGCAAAATATTCTAGCCAGACAGAAAGCTAGTTAAATGGTTAATGAATGCCTTTATGTGGAGAAATTACCTTTGTGTAAAATACTGGGGGTATAAGAATACATATATTGCTAGTTACAGTGTCTCGTGCTAGTTTGGCTGCCTTGGTAAGTATCTTCATTAAACCACATTCTGCAAAACCGCATTAGGGCTACCATTCAACTCTGTAGAAAGTGTGATATTTTAGCTTATGTAGAAAAAGTGATCCAGAAAAGATGTTAATACATGTAGTTAAAATTCATAATAAAAATAAGGCACACTCTTCATAATAACCACCTAGTGTACAATGTAATTTTGAAATCTTGTAGTATACAAATTTGAAAAAAACTGAACTCTAAAGTATGTAATGAGATTAAACGGTGGGGGTGCAGGGACCTCAAGATATGTTAACATCTCATATTGTTTATCTCTATCCCAACAGCTGTTGTCGTCTTGTGGTAGAGAGAGGGTGAAGAATAGAAATGATTGTAGTCCATTGTTTACTTGATTGACAAACTTTAAACTGTACAATTTTCTATATATAGTTTATTTTCTTGATGCTGGGAATGGAACCCAAGGTCTACTGCATGTTCTTTACCAATGAATTGCTCTCTTAGCCCCTATACAGCAGGAATTCTTAGGAGTGTGATTATGAAAGGAATTTGTGCAGAATTCAAGAGAGTGGATGTGAAGTATAAGACACTGGTAATCAGATTAGTTATAGCCACTCACTGGACGATATGGAGAAGAAAATACACAGAGAAGACAGGGAATTTCCGATCAAATGAACTAATGCATGGATATTTAGTTAGTACAAGTGCTCTATTATTGAGCTATACCCCCAACCCTTGTTATTTGTTATTTTGAGACAGGCTCTCACTAAATTATCTAAAGCTTTCAGTTCTGCCTCAGCCTCCCAAGTAGCTGGCATTACAGATGTGCCCAATGAGAACATTTTAAAAATGCTTTTATGTTAGGGGAAAATTTTTGTGCCTTTGAAATTTAAACTATGCCTTCAGTTGACAACCTGAAGAATGCCAACAGACTGTGAAGAAAATTAACCAGAGCAGAGATGATGGCTTAGCAAAGTAGTAATTAAGTGTGGAACTGGAGCCATGGAGCCGAGAGAAGTACTTGCTGAGCTGATGGGCTTTTAGAGACTATTGTCATGTGGTGGCATTGTGACATCCCACCCAAGGGATCTTCATAAAATGATTTTATAATGTTCAAACTACTGTGACAAAATATAAATATTTTAACAAAATTATGATCCCTGCTTTTGAATACATGAGTCCTGTAATATCAGCAACATTTTTTATATCATTTCAAGGTTTAAAAATCCTCATTTTTTTTTTTTTTTTTTTTTTAAATCTTTCCTCATGGCCTGCTTTTAGGATCGTTTATTTTTCTGGTCTTTATTGGCTTTAGTTCATTTTTATTAGTGCGTTCAATTGATGGCACTTTAATCCAAATCCAATGCTTGGAATTTTTCTGATCAATGCAGAATAATGCTGATATTTTATATGTACTGTATTAGAAACCATTTTTTAAATCAAATTTAAAATTTCAAGAGCAGCTGGCAATGTGTCAATCATACATAGTCTGAGTGTTTTCTATGACTTAGAATATTACATGTATGACATGAATTTAATCTTCTTTACTTTTGGCCCATTGTTCCCACTGATGAAGATGTTTGAATTTTGATTTTGGTATACAGTATACTAGCTACCACTCTAAGATTCATTTGCAGATTGATAAGCAAGGCCTTGACCTTATTGCAGAGAAAGAAAACCAGCCTAGAAATAAGCCACTGAAGACTGTTCAGACTGGCCTCCACTTACCAATAATCTTTGTGACTTAAATATCGCTAGATATTTGTACTCAACTACACTCCAACATATTACTCATAAGACTAACAGCTCTTAGTTTTCTGACCCATTATATATGTTAAAATATGAAATGTATTTAATTCAATTTAACTTAGTGAATATACCCTGGTCCTTTAATATTATTTTTTTCCTAGTTGCTTGAGTCAGATACTTGGTTAAGCTAGATTATTGTCATTAATTTTGAGTATGAATTCTCTTTGGAAAGAGGTCTGTTAGAGATGCTTTATTAAAAGTAATGTTGGATGTAGTCTTCAGTGGTGATGTGCTGTTTCATGAACCTGGAAGTTTTGTTTCCTCTACTTGCTTAGTCCATGAATATTGAGGAAGTCATTATTGTTAATAGTATTATTAGTAGTAGTACTAATTTTTTTCTTTTTAATGAGACGGGGTCTTGCTATGTACTTCAGACTGGCCTTGAGCTCACTCTGTAGCCCAGGCTGGTCTGGAACTCATGGCAATCCTCCTGCCTCAGCCTCTCCAGTGCTGGGATTACAAGTATGTGTCACCATGCCTGGTGGAGGAGGACATTTCTAATTCTAAAAATATTGCTTTCACCAAAACATTAGGAGCAGTTTAATCTTGATAGGTTTCTTAAG